GATTTGCAGTGTTACCAGTGGTACGAAAAGGAAGTTGCCTTGACCAGAAATTCTTCCGATTTGAACTGTCCATCGTTTTATAACCTGGCCTTGCTGGACGGTCGATTTATCCACGAATCAGCCACAGAAACAAGTCAGCGAGTGTGTTTTGTCAATGTCTTGCCAAAGACGGGACCAGCCATTCGATGCTGTTACGGAAAGGGCCTTGGCGCTAGTCTAATTACGTCTTTGCCACTGGCCGGAAGTGCCTTGGATAAAAATCCGCTATATTTTTCAACTAATGATTCGACGTATGGATACCAAAAATGCTGTATTGAGTCGGACAGATGTGGAGCATATTACAAGCTATTTCCCGTCAAATCTTCAAAATTTTATAAACCACCACATTGGGGTAGGTAGTACTGACTCTTGTGTTGGGATGACTCCTTATATAATAATAAACATTGTTATATAGCTAGGGTAAATACCAAACCTGGTTGGTTGATTTGTGGTCACATGACTTTAAATAAATGCAATGTATCCCGCCTGGTAACAAGTGAAAAATTGTTGCCCGCCCCGAAGGCTATATAAAGTGCATAAATAGACAAAATCGCGGCACAACTCGCAAGTTTATAAGCCACGATTTTCCAAGTTTGTGTTAATATGAACAATGTAAAAGAAAAGAAAAATGCACACAAGATATGCTACTGAAACCGTTTAAGTATAGGTTCTTTTAATTTTACACTTGTTTACAAAACAGAATTTTTCTCAAGAGTTGTTGTATATGAATCATGAATGGTTGATTCTTGTTTCGTCGCTATATAACAAAAGACTTAATGTCTGTTCCCTCGGGAAATGGTTATAATTTTGACTGAGAATTTCGGGTCTTTCGGAAAAGAACTAACTACGTCCCCTGGCAGCAGACATTAAGTGTGTATAGTAGTATTAATTTAAATTTAAACAAAATTACGCACCATAATTGCTATAATGGAAATTAAAATAATTGAAGCAAGTTCATATCCGTTTTCTTGTAGCTTGGGGATTTGGAGACCCTCATTACGACAATATGGACAGAATGAATTACACGTTTAATGGTTGTGGTAAATACATGTTTTTGGATACCGAAAATTCTGCCATTCAAATTCAAGTAAAGTTTACGCAAGCCACTGGCGCTGGCCTTGGCACGGTGATATCAGCTATAATACTCAAAATTGCTGATGTTAGTCCAATCCAAATTAATTTAAAGTTGGGAGGTATGTATCGAGATTTGCTCCGGCCAGGTTACTATGATACGATTTCAATAATTAATAGCTACGTAAATGTAAAACAAAATGAAAACCTTTTCCGTACGCGAGTTGGGAAAGATGTTAAGGACCGGTCATTACTCATTAGTTATTGCAGGGGGTGACCCTGAAGAGAAAACGGTTGGCCGTAAACAACATTTTGAGTAAGGAAATGGCTGGGTAAATGAAAAACAATTCATGGGTTGGGTAATGAAACTTTATTGTCATTTCCAAAGCAATACTCACTCAAATATTGAAAGCTTAAAAGCAATGTCAACAGTCATATGTCAGTATATATTATAATATATAAATAAATCAGAGTCCTACTAGACATTTTCCGATTTGTCATGAGGCAAATAATGTCTTTAAAGAGAGTAGATGTGCAGACAGCAATCCTTTTGTAACGTTTTTGGCCTGGGGTCGGTTTTTATTTTTTATTGATATTTAAAGTTGGGTAAAAAAATATTTTGACTTTTTAAAGGTAGGGTACAGTCCGTATGTAAACAAAGCCTTTGTTTACATCTCGGTATTCAAAATGTTGAACTTTATTAGACAACCATTTATATTTTCATGCTTCTACAGTATAATAAATGATCAAGATACAACAATCGGGGTTTGCGAGAACCTAAAATAAAATAAAAACCTAATTAAAGTGTTTCTATCACGGCAGGAGATTTATATGTGCGCATGCGCAGACCGGATTGTACCCTATCTTTAAGGGTTAGCTAGATTTTTACCAAGTAAAACATTTCTCTTCGGTGGCAGCCCCAGCCGCAAATAATAACCTGTCCCTTATTTGCATGATTTTATATTTATACAATATTTTTAAATGCCATTTTATTTTGTTCTTTCTTTCAAAGGAGGGATGCTCTTTCTTGTCAACAAGGTTGAATTTGCTGGCGCAAGTAGTTTTGGAACGTCTCCAACGTTAATAGAAGACAGGGTTTCGGTTATCAAGCCTCAAGATAACCTGCTAAGAATAACCTCAGGTGGAACAGGAATTACAGTCAGGGACGAGAAAAATCATCTCATTGTCACCATTGTTTTAGACGACGCATTATTCGGTAAAACCAAAGGGTTGATGGGCAACTGGAGTGGAAACACGAATGATGATTGGTTACTTCCAAATGGAACAATTTTGCCTCCACCACTTACCGACGAACAAATTCATTTTGACTTTGGAGAAAAATGTAAGTCCCTTTCCTAAAATAACTTAATTTGAATATACGAGGATTTTCCAGGTGAAATAAGCCAATATTTCAAAACACCTGGATATGCAGTTCGCAACCATTATCACGAGATTCAATAAGTAGATCAGGATCATGTTTCGAGGTTCATCAACTTCGAAACTAATTAATAATTTTGCTTTGAATTAATACTGAGCGTATTAGTGGAACTAACAGGAACATTTCTAACAAAAAATCTATGGCTTACTGATATGAAACCGAGATCTTTCTGTATTGAGCTGATATGGTATTGTATGCTTGTAAGAATTACTGCAAAGCTTTGAGTCCGTATAAGCCTAGACTTGCTCCAAGTCTCTCTTTCATTGTCATATAGTATCGATCCACTATAGTGTACATTACGTGACGTAGCACGGAGAAGCGGAGCGAGAAAGAGAGACTTGTCAACTTCGGAAAATCTCAAGACTTGCTTGAATTGTTTTCTGTCAGTATTTATGTGTATTGATCTAGTACAGTGTAACCGAGATTTTCCGACGTTGACAAGTCTCTCTTTCTCACTGCGCTCCTCTGTACTACGTCGTGTAATGTACACTATGGTGGATCGATACTATATGACAATCAAGGGAGTCTTGGAGCAAGTCTAGTATAAGCCCGGATCTTCATCAGTGCTAACAATATGTGACTGTTCAATTCACACGCTCTTTTTATATACAAAAGTGTCGTGGTCTGTTGGCTCTTCTCATTAGAAATTTAATTAAACGGTAGGCTACATCACCCACGTCATTTCAAACGTAGTGAAGTGTTTCTAATTAACGCGTGCGCATCGAAGACAAGAGAAATTAATTTTGCACATTAAAAAGAGCACGCCACGTATATCTTCACGTACTATCTAGTGGCTTTCCCTCCTGATCTATAGTATTGTGCTTCTCGATTTCAATTGACATTGAAAAACATTGTCACGCGAGGGCAAAGTATATATACATGCAGAGTCCGGAATATTTGCAAAATTCCAATTGAGTACAAACTTATCATATCTCTTGGTGAGTGAGACCACTTTCAGCACTTTTTTAATGGAATATTAAGAGAGTACTGGATGGTATTTATTGAAAATGACTTGGTATTTAGGCGATAAAATATGAAAATATAAAATGTAAAATTTACCTTGTAAAACAAAACCTTATTAAAAATGTTTTTAACCTTCGCAGTTACGGACACCTTTAATGTGTTTTATGTTTATTCTTTTACGTTCTGAATATTTTGAAAGATTTTTAGACATTTTTGTTTGAAACTCGGTTCTCGTCGCAACTTCGTAGGCAATAGAAATTCCGGATAGGACAATCCTGCCTCGCCAGCAGCCAATCAAATTGGGCGATTTACCAAAACAAATGCTTTCCATATAGCAAGTTTAGATATTGTATAATTTTGATTTATGCGCCAGAATCATCATCAGTGCTTATCCCATTTCGTTTGTTTCTATATGACAGCTTAGTAATAATATGCGTTTCTTTTTCTCAGGGAATTTAAGTGCGAGTGATGACCTGTTTGTAAATACGTCTGCGGATGTAGGATTTTTTTGCGATGTCAACTACATGCCGATATTTGTGAACAACTTCACTTTTCCGAATGCGTCGTTTGAAGCCTCCGCAAGAGAAATATGTGGAGGGAATACAGAATGTTTATTTGATATTGCTGCTACCCTTAGTGAGGAGTTTGGTCAAGCAACGTTGAACAATTCTGCTGCTATCAAAAGTGATAACGAAGTAATAGGTAAGAAGTTAATGCCTGAAGGTGATTGTTGTTTTACTAAATAAAATGCATCTATAGTTTTGAGAAGATGTGCGCGCAAGAAAAATAGAAAGGAAAGAGTGCAATAAACAAGCCCTTACCACTACTTCTACACTGTATAAATAGACACACTATCTCACACAATCGAATTTGTTCCCTTGACTGAGTTGTAAGTTGCGCACATATATGAGTACGGGAAAAAAAGATAGAGGCGAGGGGGGGGGGGGGGGGGCGAATAATTTGTCCAATAGTGCTGAAGTTATCCGACCAATACTTTTTTCGTCCTGAATTGCCCAAAATTTGCCCGATTTTTTAGTACAATCTACTCAAATGAATACTTTGTTGTAAAACCATTCAACGTGAGCACAAAGGAAAAATACGACTGCACAAAAAACCATGATGAGACATGTTATAGATTATAGAGCACAATTGTTATTCAATGCACCACACGTAGTGTTGGGTAAATTTTTAGTCGAAACTTCTTTCAGACGTTGCTATCGACAAACGTTCAAACGTGTTGCGGTCGTTCATACATTCAAAATACTCGAAAATATGCGCATTCTGAATTATATTGATTGTTTAAATCAACTGAATTTGGTTTTAGAAAATCTTCCTCCCGAATTTGATGTCGAAGAAGCTGTGTTTAACTTGACATTGGGTTCACTATTCGAATACACTCTCTCAGCAACTGATGCGAATGGAGATACACTAAGTATCAGGGCTGCAGGTCTTCCTGCAGGTGCGAACACTGCGTCAAGTGGAAACAGTTTAACATTTTCCTGGCAGCCAGATAATGCCAATTCGGTATGTACTAATTTTAAGGGACCGGTCGCGAAACTCGTACTGCAGATCTGTCGTAGAAAATTTTGTATACGATTAAATTAATATCGGTTGCCAATGGGGTTTTAACATATTAATTCTTCAATTGTTTAGTTTAAAGTAAGCTTCATTGTGACCGACTCAAAGAACGCATCCACGTCATTAGTACCTACCATTAATATGTGCGCATGCCAAAATGGTGGCACTTGCTTCATAGCTGAAAGTACGGGAATAAACGCTTTAACAGTTCAAGGATATAACATCCTTGAATGTCGGTGTGCCATTGGCTACGAGGGAAACGTTTGTCAAGATGTAAAGAACTTCTGTGTAACTCAGTCTGGTTCACCTTGTCATCCGCAAGTGAACTGCACCAACTCTCCAACTGGGTATATTTGTGGACCATGCCCTACTGGTTTTGGTGGAGATGGACAGAATTGTTCAGGTCTGTAGAAATGAGGGTGTTACATTATCATCATAATCATGCTCGATAGCTTACTCTATACAATTTATGATCAGTCGAAATAGGTTTTGGACATAACGAGATACTATAATTCTGCTTCTTAGTAATACTTCAAGTGCACGGTTGAACGACTCAACCACGTGATGTCATTAGTTTGATAATTGTTTCATTGTGTAAAAAATTGTATTGTCTTTATCATACAAAAGTTTGCATGCTATACATGAACAAAAAGGTAGAACAAGGATTTCTAGATTGATTATGTTCTATTGTTTAGCCGCATTGTAATCTGCCAGTGTATTCATGGATTATAATTTTTGTCTTTCAGATATAAACGAATGTGAGAAAAATACACACAACTGTCAAATGCTGTGCGTGAACAATGCCGGTTCCTTTGAATGTCAATGCAATTCTGGGTACCAACTTAATCCTGATAAGAGAAATTGCGATGGTTAGTAGAAGATAATTCTGCATATCACAGAAACCTTGTCAATTCTCGTGAATTTTTAAAATTTTGAGAATAATTTGTCGTATAATTAATTTTTCAGACATTGACGAATGCGTTACTGGCCATGAATGCTTACACACCTGTACTAACACCGTTGGCTCATACACGTGTTCGTGTCTAGAAAATTTTGAAGTGGATTCAACGGATTCCCGAAACTGCATACGTGAGTACCTATAACTGAAGACTTTGCAGAAGTTACCTTGATACAGCATTAATTATACAAATTAGTGATTGTCGGTTTTGTTATTAGTTGACTTAGTTCTAAAGTCAACTGGCAAATTAATAACCAAATTAGTCCAACGATTGCATGCAGCTGGCTTAAGTTAAATTATTATAGTTACTAAATAATGGTGGTTTATAATTGGTTCCTAATTTTCGCGATTTTTATTATAGTTAGTTATCACTTAGGTATTTGGCTAGCAGGTTATCACTCAGTCATGTGCATTGAGCTAAAACATAAAAGCACAAACATTTTTTCCAGCTAAAACTCCATGCACTGGAAGCAACGACTGTCAACAGGTATGCTATGTTGACGAAAGCACGCAAGCAAAAGCGGAAGTTTGTTCTTGCAACAGGGGATACAGACTTCATGAAGACGGCAGGCGATGCACAGGTAAGTTAGAGTGAGATTAATGTGCCAACTGCAACTAGATTTATGGCAAAATATATAGGACATCGTCTGCATAGTCTATGTGAAGGTGTTTTAGAGCAAGAGAGCTTTGTCTAATGCCTGCCGTATAATATAAGTTTATATCATAGAGGAAATATATATCCTTTCTGTTCTTCTACTTTATTTGCATTATTGGTACATTCTATCGGTCATTCCACCGCTACGGAGATTACATCCATACAGAGACCTTTTACGACGTTTTTTTTTTCTGTTCTTCTTCTTGTTAAAGTAATTATAATATTCTCTTGCTTTATTAGCCACATTAATTGTACCTAACTGGATTACATATTCAATGCTGGTTTTCCAGAGACTATAGGACAAATTGGTGACGATATGACACTGATGGTAGAGAAATAGGAAACGAAACTATGCATGATCCTTCAGTGTCTAAATCGAGCTACATTTAGTTTATCGAGACGGAATTACACGTCTAGAGAAAATATTTTGCCCAGATATATCTAATAAAGACAAGTTTGGTTCATTTAAACTGACCACTCGATCGTAAAGCGTCATCTACTGCTTTCTTCTCTCTCTATTTTCTGTGAGAACGTTATGAAATTCACCATCACTTAATAGTAAATGTTACTTTTAGATATTGATGAATGCGCCGATTCCACACATCGATGTTCTCAAACGTGCACCAATACTCAAGGGAGTTACACTTGTTCATGCGTTAATGGATACACTTTGCAAAGTGATACAATCAGCTGTGAAGGTAATGGCTCGTTATTGTATATTATATAGGAAAAAACACGCATGAATATTATAGTAATAATAATATCTATACTGTTCACTAATCCGATTCCCTTTTTACAGATAACAACGAGTGTATTGATAACCCAGGATCATGTGATTCCAATGTTGGCGAAAAGTGCTATAATCTTCCTGGAATATTCAAATGTGACTGTAATGATAATCAAGGACTGGTTCGAATAAATGGTACATGCCAAGGTACAGTTCCTCAAAGATTATTACATCATGACTGCATGCACAGTTTTCGATCAACATGACTGTTGTATTTCAATTATAACTATTTTCTAAATGCAAGTAAATACGATAAAGATGCTACATTCAGATGCTATATTGTAATACTGTGCCATACATATATGCATGCTAATTTTGTTAACGTTTTCGTATTAATGCACCACTTTGACGTACCAAAAAAGAAAACGTCTTGTGGAATAACACAACTTATTTTTAGTTCCATAATTTAATTAAATAGTCACATATTCGTGACTCCTTCAATTCTGTGATTTTAGATAACTGTGCAGAAACAGTTCATTATATGCTTTAATGTTTTGCTCTTTTGTCCCAGAGTTAGTTTCTAGGTAATCTTGCAAACTATATGTTCTCTTGTTATCGTTTGCATTAATAGAACACCCTTTTGTGAGCACTATATCAACTATATTTTAATGTTCTTCCTGTTTGCTTTCCAGTCCCAACGAATTCTACGGCCCAAGTAGTTGAACCTGCGCCCACACCTCCTGACGCCACTCAGGCTCAAATTAGTAATGCTGTTCAATTTCGTGTTTATGGTTTCCAGTCCAGTCAAGTAAGGTTCTATTACATTATTTAATCGCTAGATCGGTTTAAAGGCTACTTTAATTTTCACTAGCACCAGAAGCGTGAAAATATCAATAACGCAAGCACAGAACAAAAAGATTCCTAGTTTAATTAAATTTGGTTTTGCTCATTGGATGTTTAGGCGGGCGTTTATTTTGAATGCTTAACTGATTTTTTCTTTGTTTGGTCTTAATATTTCCTAATTCTTGTTTTACGATTGATACGTAAATGTCAAATAGCTAAGAACCCTTAGCTGTCCGTACATTTCCAAACGAGTATGACCAGTAACATCTATAACATCTGAGAACACGTTCCCTCAATGAATATTCTCGGTTTTTAACATACCATTTGCGCATACTGACTATACTTTTGTAATTTTTCATAATTTTAGTACGTGAAGCAAACACACTCTACATTCAAACAAGCTCTAGCAAGCGCCCTTACACGCTATTGTAATGCGAATGAAGAAAGAAGAACCGAGTGTGGATTGTCTGGGTAAGATACCATGATCTAATTAGCACAATGTCTTTCTAGTGCGAGGACAATGTTTGTACTCTGACGAGCCAAATCTAAAAATGCGATCTAAAATATGCTCATTTCTGCATTATGTTTATTTTTCAAACACAGGAGGGGATTTACCTTCACAGAATTAAATATACATCGTATACCCAACCATCCTCAGGATGATGGAAATGATGCCCTGGTTTCTTTCTATGCCCTTTATCCAAACGGAACCCAAAATAGCGACGGTGTTCCTGTACCTCTAGGTGCTTTATTTAATGCTTGGTCAGAACAACTGAGTACGATAAAAAAAGACACCAATCTGGACTTAATGGTTACCACTGAAGCGGAGACGGGCTCAAATACGAAGTCAGATGATCTTGATTGGCCTTTAGTTCTTGGTGTTAGTATTGCTGGTATCCTTCTACTAGTCCTGGGTGTTTGCGTTCTTGTTCTGTAAGTATTGGTTTTAATACATACATTGAATAGTAATTATATCAATCATCTTTTTCCCAACAAGAAGAATCACATTTGTGTCGTCAGAAAGAAGAACTCTATATTCTTGGAGTCGTAAAACCTGGCACCACATTAAATTTTGTAGTTAGTTTTCTAGTCTTAAATACTCGTAATTCAAACTCTGATTCTCTAAACAAGATATTTACCTGTCTATTTTCAGGGCATGCGCGAAGCGAAACACTGGAGGCTTCCCACCTCAACATGACTTCTATGAGCGAAGCAGATGGTCATTTGGAGAGCAACCTTCGCAATATTCGATCACTGGAGAAAGCCATCCAGGATTTGACGAAGACGGATTACCTGTGGAAGTTGGGACCAACTATGGTAGCGGAACGTATGGAGTGCAGGAGAGGCAGGGTAGTGCGTATTATAACTAATAGGCATATCCAATACGAGATCGCGATTAATGACCCAATGAATCATTTGACCTCCGAAATACAGGATGGAGATAAAACCAATATACAGTGAGAAAAGAAAGCTAGTGAAAACGCTTATAGACAGGTTATCGCCGCATATTCCATTTCGCTTTCTATCTTTGTGGACTAAACAAAAATTTGTACTCAATTAGTCATGCTGACAAAGAAAGTTCTACGTACTGGAAAACGATTTAACAATTAGCCCAGGCTAATCCATTCTGAACTCTTCTGCATTATACAATATTCCACTCCAGTATGGTTGGAGGTCAAAACTATTTCATCAAAAGATTTGATACAAAAGAGTATCGACAAAATGGACACGACAAAAACGCATCACAATATATAGTAAGAGAAAGAGAAATAGGCAATGTTCTTAGAATTAACGTACTGTTAAATGGACACGGAAATATTGACACTTCATTGCAGGAATATAATACTTTATTAGATGTCAAAATAACAAAGAAATCTCAAGAATTTTAGACTTTTAATGCTTGGCTTTATGTAGACACACCGGCAAAAAACCAAAACATTAAAATTTGTAAATTTACAATTTTTAGGATTCCAAGAGAATTGTCTTTCAAATCATATCGGTTGTCACATATTTCAGTACATTTTTTCGTTTTAAAAATTCGAATTTAATTGCCTTGAATTGCGTCGCTACGAAACCCAAGCACAAAGTCTATGCAATGAAAGTGAAAGGAACCAGTTTGCAATGTTAGAAAATTTATATAAAAATAGCTTAGATTAGTTTATAGGTATATATTAGTTTAGGTTATGTTAATTCCCGGGAATATGTAACAATCAAATGTATGTAATATATATGTTCACAGTTGCCAGGCGGGCTGGAGATTATTAAGAGAATTCAATGGAAATATATATACAATGTTAGCGATTTTAAGCCTAGTCCTGGTAATTTGAACAATATTCACAAATCGGTACATTAGCACCAATTCCGGTTCAAATGGCAATGGTGAACGTACCCCAATCTGTTTTGGGTAGGGGGTAAACAATGTTATTTTCTGTAGTCATTAAATAAGTAAATTTGTTTTAGTATATTAATATATATTATATTTAGGCACAAATATATGTATCAAATATTAGAAATGTCTGGTTAATTCTTATTGCTGCATTGGCAAACATTGAATTTAGCTGAACGCCTACAGTCATGTTACATAATAACTAGAGGAAGTCCAACCTCGTTCCCAGGCTCTTTGCTCTTGGGAAGCAAAGACCCTGGTCGGGGCTGGTCACGTGACCCATAGAAAATTGATAACCTAAGAGGGGGATGGAAGAGTATCAAATTACACGTTTCCACTTCCGCACCTCACACTTCGATTGCAAGGAGTGACCGTGCTATACAATCATCTTTGAGAATCATATATACTTCAAAATACTTGCTAAATTGGTTTCTGTTTGCTTTTAAATTATACAAACATGCTAAACTGTAGATTCTTATAGCAACAAACAAGTCAGAAAGTCAAGCAATGAAAACGTATGATCGTATATGCTTGGAAATATTTGCCCTTTTATTGTCTCAGTGTCTCGGGGTTCGGGCGCAGTTTCATTTCACGCGTACGTTTCTGTATCTGGCTCTGCAATACGTATAATATTCTTATAATGTGCCATTGAATTGTTGTCATATGGAAACAGTATAAATTTTGTTAAATAGAGGTCTCAAAAGCGACTGTGTAGGTCGTAGGCGCTGCGCCTTGCTGGTCCTACAGCAAACGTTACATATTTGGACACTAGCCAAATAAACATTGAATGTCCATTCTATTGATTCTAAAACGGTTTATAGACATAGTGCTCTAGATTTTTTTAAAAAGGTTATCATCGTTTATATTCAACACCAGGCAGGAAGGAGTGTTAACGTACATGTACAAAATTGTTTGGGATCGACAGTAAAGAATTATACGACAAATCACAACTGTATGCATTTCCTTTTTTTGTCTGCACGAGTACCTGTTTGTTGAAGCCAAAATCAGATTGCACAGAATCTCCGATTGAATTATATAGCCAAACACCCTCGCCCCTTGAATGCAAAGGAATGATAGCCGAAAAGGTTTAGCAAAGTATTTTTTATTATATCTGGTATGGTATAAAGTGTCCCTACGTTTTATCAGGGATATAGATATACATAATTCATAAACTGTATATATGCGCACGAAGTCCAGCTCATAGAATTACTTATCAAATTAACTTTTAATAAGCCTTTTAAAGTTTCCATTAATAGATAGGTTGTTTGCCTCTAGTATGGTTTGGTGAAACTGCTAAAATGTCATTTATACAGTATACGATAAAGATTATTTAAAGTTGATTTAAATATTGATGACTCACAGCAGCATTATACAAGTCGAAAGAAGCTGTCGGGTTATTCTTCAAAACTTCAAATATAAAGCCCTGAATGTGCAATAGAATGAAAGGTCTTTATAAGGTTTATAAATTAATGTACCTGCTGTAAATTACTTGAATACACAAAATATGAAATAATTTACTATGAAGTACAATACCAGTGTCCGGTGCATATATCGTCCTAAATATTCAAGTTTATGTACCGCACGCACGGAAACGTACAGTGGAGTCTTGGTGTTCGTCTGATCACTACTCTGATGACAGATAGCTATACTTCGAGTCTTCGACATACTAATCATTCTTGATCGTTGAGTTTCAGCAATGTAAATGAAAGGAATTTTACAGTCCATAACGGGTTTTAATCCTGTGCTTTCACAGTCAAGATAGCACTATTGTTTACACACAGTTAGCGATGTGCCGATGTTTGGGAAATCTTCCATTATAAAATAAACCCTTTGGCTTTGTTGAATATCGGACAGGATACACTTCAACCATAAACAACCATATCGTTCATTTAGTATCGTTTGATCGATCAGTCGGTATAGAATTGGGAAGACATATATGTTTCTACGGCGATGCGTGCTCAACTTCGCAAGCCAGGCGCGTGTGGAGTCCTTGGAAGTGAAATATGATCCAGCTTCTTGCTTGAAATGTACCGCAACACTTATAATTGATGACATTCAGTATAGCAGGAAGTTGTGTCATGATGAATACGAATTTAAAACTATTCCTTTCACGATATCTTGTTGCAAATTACATTTTTATCACCCGAAACTATAACACATAAAATTGCAATTTTCCAAACGCAACAAACAGACTCCTCTACCACCCCTCCCTGAGATCAATTCAATTTACCACGCAGAATCTGCGGGGTCACGTGACCAGCCCCGACCAGGGTCTTTGCTTCCCAAGAGCAAAGAGCCTGGGAACGAGGTTGGAGGAAGTCCCCTTATCTTTCGTTAGTCAAAGATCGAAGTGAAGCCAAAATCATGGCGGTTTTGGCGTTGTCAGCACGGTGATTGGTCACAATTTCGGTCACAGATTCGTGTCTCGCTGTCATGTTTGTCATGTCACTCTAATCCTTACGCTGCCCCAACCCGCGCGCAAGTCATAAACAGCGAGACATAACACATTATATGCCCAATTTCATTCTGTAATTACTACTGATCAGGCCTAATTATGAGCCCACTACAATTGCTACACCCCTTGTAAGGAGCACCGAGAGCTTGGCGGGGGCCCGGGGCAAATTTTTTTAGGGCCCCTATTTCAAAATTTTTTCCGGAATAAATGTTTTTCGGACAACAACCCCTGCTCCCCCCCCCCCCAGTCGACAACTTTTTAGGCAAAAAGTTTTTCCGGACGAGTACGATGCCAATTGCTTTCCGCCGACTTTGCCCCAATTTTTCATACCAAATTTCGGTCCTGTACTTTGCCCTAAAAAAAACAAATATCTTGCCCTTTGCGCGGAAATATTTCACTCAAAAAAAGGTCCAACAAAAAATTTCTAGGGCCCCCAGAACCTGGTGGCCCGGGGCAATCCCCCCCTGCCCGCTCTCTCGGTGGCCTTGCCCCTGGTTATGGACAAATATTTTATTTGTTTGCAATACGTTTTTGTTGCTTGATTTTTTTCGCCTAAATCAGTTTAACTATTTGCCCAAAAATGTAATAATCGTAGTCGTTATTCTCGTCCATAAAACACCTCGAGAAAGCGAGAACTGAGTCAACTGTACAGTAAGACCGTTGGGCGTTTTATTCCATGAAAAGTTTCATTTGCTCGTGTGTGCAAATATCCTAGGCTTTTATTTGCAAGGCTCCATCAGTTCTTGTTTCAAAGCGTGAAAGCGAATCATCGTAGGGTAGCTTTCGCTATTTTGTTCCGGAGCTAAAGCCAGTTTTCCACTAGGCGGAATTTTGCGCGCGGAGCGGAATCTCTCTTTGTCTTGTGATTTTTCAGGTGGAACTAATTAGAGAAGACAAAGAAAAATTCCGCTCCGCGCGTAAAATTCCGCCTAGTGAAAACCGGCTTAACGGTGCGAAGCGCCGTATATACCAAACGTAAACCTGGGGCGAGGAAACTAATTCCGCTCGGCTATTTACACCCGGAGAAAGGAAAGTTAACATTAGCGAAGTCTAAAGTTCATCAGTAATCGTGGGCGTGCGGCTATGATAGTATGATCCAAGGTTTCATGAGTGGACCCGCTGATCTGTGCATGGGTGGAGAAGTTCAGATATCTTTGTGAAGCCCCCACGATTTTCTGCTCATTTAAAGCAGCTTCTTAAACAGTTTCCTTATGTATAATATTCACTTAGATTAAGCTTTTATGCACTTGTTGGTTCAGCAGGGTGCTGAGACATTCAAATTCTAACAATAGCTTATTTCAATAGTTCAAGGGTGTCCCAAAAAAGAAAACTATTGAAATAAATGTATCGTTAGAATTTGAATGCCTCAGCACTCTGCTGAACCCACACGTGCATCAAAGCTTGACGTAAGCAAATTTTATCCATAAAGAAACCGTTTTTAAGAAGCTATTTTAAAGTCCCAAGAGCAGAAAATCGTGCGCTTTACAAAGATATTTTAATTTCTTAATAAGTCAATATTTAATATATGAACCCTTGTCAATATTTTGCGCACCTTTGCATTCAGCTTAGTGCTAGGGCATTCAAATTTTAACGATACGTTATTTCAATGGTTTTTGGGACACCCTGCACAGGGTGTTTCAAAAAACCGCAACCTCGGAATTTCCCAAGAAATCGACATTGTTTTAAGGACAAAGGATTTTAGGTGCTTGGGAAGTTAAAATATCACAACTGTCAAAATTACTGCACACGCGAGTACATAAAGCAAAATTTATGCATTTATTTAACAGTACAACAACAGTAATATGATCTACAGGGTGTCTCAAAAAAAACCAAAATCATTGAAATAACGTATTGTTCGAATTTCAATGCCGTAACACAAAGGATTTTGACAGGGTGATTAATTTGTTTTAAAAAATTAAAATATCTTTGTAAAGTGAACGTTTGTTTGCTCATGGGAATTTAAAAATGCTTCGTAAATTGTAACATGCGTAATATGCATTCGTGGGTTTAGTACTTTATGCCTGACATAACAAGTTTACGCTGAGTATCTGTATTACCATTCATTATAGCAGTTATGTCAATCTTTTATGCACTCGTGGGATTAACTTAGTGCTAGGGCATTGAATATCGAACAATACGTCAATTTCAATGATTTTGGGTTTTTTTGAGACACTCTGTATTAGCAATTCGATTTCAATTCCCAGGGGCCTAAAATCTTTTATTCTTAAGAATTGTAAAGTGGATTTCTTAGGAAATTCCGAGGTTGCGTTCTTTTTTAGACACCCTGATATTCAAATAATTAAACATTCCAAGCGACCATATTTAACCCCAAGGGAGTTCAGACCAATGCATGCTTTTAGCAGTAGCCAATGATAGCAAAGCTTTTGCAAGCTAAACCAATCTGAACTCGTAAAAAAGATTACGTTACAACTAGAAGTTACTATCGCAAGGAAAGTGCTGCCTCACCCCCAAGGGGTCAAAGGCAGCATGCACAATTTGCTGAATAAGGGGCTGTTTTTATGATCCCGCTTTGCCAGGATGATATATGAGGCGGGATGATTTAGATGTATTTAAATAAGTCACGGTGTACACTTCAGCAAAAAACTTCATTATTTTCGAGAGATAGCAATAGTTATCTGTAAACTGAAAGGTTGTTCAAGCAGCAATAATAATCTTCTTGAACTACAAGATCTGCTCTACAACATTTGAGTTTTGTTAACCAGCATTTGGACTTTCGTTTAGCCTATGGATGTATTTCAATACATCAAAATCATCCCACATTCCATCATGTAAACAGCCCCTTAGCCTAAGATGCCTGTTCAGGAGGTAGGGAAAGTGCAATTTGAATACCAAACACCTTGCACAAAGTCAAAGGTCAGCTAAATATTCTAATTCTACTTTCTTGGCATGCCAAATTTATATGAATTCCTTCAATGCTTATAACTTCTTGTTTTTGTATGTATAATTATAATTACTGTCAGCACTGGTGAAGCTAGCCATAGTAACAGCTAGGTCATGCTATGGTTTTTAATGATTTGCATTGCAGGTCTATTAGCATATATACCATGACCAGTTACCATGGCTAGCTTGCCACTCAATACTGAACAATAATAGTTATAATACCATATGTACGTATAAACAATAATAATACTTGAATGAATCATTGGACACATAGAATTTAATAACAATTTCATATATAGAAATACTAAGTCAGTTTTTTCCCCAATTATTGTTTTAATGGCACCTTCAAGGCTACCTCTATTGTAGAACAACTGAACAATCTGCTGATGGGAGACAAAATCTATATTTGTCGACATTTTTGTTTAATATGTCAGCTTCAGATGGCACCATTCATTTGTAAGACTAAGATAATACACACTCAGAACTGCAAAACTATATAAGAAAGAAATTGTGAGCATTATGCACTAGTCAGTGGAATACCCCGCATCCTCCTACCCGGGGAACAGCGGGACATTAGACCAAGACCTTGCTCTATTTCACTCTCCGCTATATGGGCCACTCCCACTTGCCTAAACACAAATAATGTCCCTGCTCTCCGGGCCCACCATACAATATCTACAAAGAATATCTGTCTAAAGGAAATAGACCTATTTGATAAATACTACCTTATTCGTACTTAATTTCGCACATCTATTAAACTGGATTCTTTTCAGTTCGATTTAGTTTTGCTCATTGTTCGTGGCCCCTAAAAACTGGGCCTTTCCCTTTTTACTTAAAATTTCAGTCATATCTATGGTTCACACTGAATGCTTAAAAAATGGAACATCTAAATGGTTTACAATAACTTTCAAGAAAATAAAATGGTGACCTAATAACACAAGAGATTGTCAGTTCGTTCGCAAAATTATCAGCTCGCTTTCATTGCTCATTCCCAGTCCTTTTTCGTTTTCAAGATGGCGGCTATGTCTAATCCCCGATATAAGTCCTGCCAAAGTCCCCGGTACCTGATAATATAACTAATACAGTCTAAATCCCTGTGTAGCATGGTCGAATATAAGGTTCAATCTCTCAATAATTCCCCGCTATTCCCCAGGTAGGGGGGTGCGGGGCATTCCACTGACTGGTGCATTATCAAAAATCCTGAAATGTGGTGGCATGGTGACACATATATCTCAGAGGTATATTTTTACAGTCTGACCATCATACCTTGTAACTGCTGGTAACTCAGTTAATACAACATTTAAGACAACAATCCACACTGGGTTGCTATAGGATAATAGGAATATATTTAAACACAACATTCTGCGTGATGAATAATATGCTACATTAATAAATGAAATATATTTAAAACTAAATCCTCTTAACCGTGGACCTAAACATTCATAGCCATGGGTGCATTTTAATATTTAATATGTATGACAGACTATGTTTAGGCTCACACAGACATTTCTCATTATAAATAGTGTATGAAAATATATGATATAGTGTATGAAAATATATGATATAGTGTATGAAAATATATGATATACATAATTCGCGCTGTGAATTGAGCAATAGAAGAAAAGAAAAAATCGAGCAAATTGACATACCTCTAAACGATCTCCCTTTCTCACAAAACTTGATGTATTAAAGGCCAGTATTTATACAAAGTATGTCTTTGCTTCGCTCCTGACCTCGACAGTAGTCGACACCTCGTGTTAAAATGCTACAAAGCTTGCTGATCGAAATATTTTTAAACGCCATACTTGGTACGTCGTTCGCAGTCGCTAAACAAAGTATTCGGCAGTCATCGATTTGCTATTTTGAATTCCTGGGGTATGATAAAGGCCGGCGCACACTAGAGCTATGTGCTTAGCAAAATGTCATTCGTGACTGTTGGCGTAAGGAGATAGCTCTCGTGTGCGGGCGATTTACGAACGACTTTTGTCATTCGTGCCACTTACGCCAAATATCTAACATGTTTGATAATTTCTGCCTCGCGTGCCAAAATCTTTCCGTGTGCGGCGAACGAAAGCTATCTGCTTACGGATTGTCGCAACAGCGCATGCGTAGTATACGAAAGTAAACATCCAAGATGGCGGCGCAAAATGAATTGCTGGCCGAGGCAATTTTAGAGGACAAACTTGTCGAACTTTGGCCTGAATATAAATGTTTATACGATGTGAGTTCTGCAGATGTTAGAAATAGGGACAAAAGGGAATGTGCGGTGAAAGAAATAGCCAGTAAGTTTGTCCTCTAAAATTGCCTCGGCCAGCAATTCATTTTGCGCCGCCATCTTGGATGTTTACTTTCGTATACTACGCATGCGCTGTTACGACAATCCGTAAGCAGATAGCTTTCGTTCGCCGCACACGGAAAGATTTTGGCACGCGAGGCAGAAATTATCAAACATGTTAGATATTTGGCGTAAGTGGCACGAATGACAAAAGTCGTTCGTAAATCGCCCGCACACGAGAGCTATCTCCTTACGCCAACAGTCACGAATGACATTTTGCTAAGCACATAGCTCTAGTGTGCGCCGGCCTTAACGCTCCAATGCAAATTCCTTACTGCAACGTCATAATATGACGTCACAACTGCCGACACAAAATCGAGATGAGCTTCAGTGCTTCAGTATATAAAACTGTTGGCGGGAAATTCAAATGCGCTATAACACATCGTCAAGAATAGGAGGCTGCCTTCGGCAGCAATAACAAGCAAGGTGTGCTATACGCATTCGTGGCAAATTTAAATATTTCTCATGCTCGAGCCTGGAGGCGTCATTTTGACTCGAAGTTTAGGAAAGTACACATTAAAATTAGCGCAAAACTTCGCTTTTATGAAACTTTTTCGAAATAAAATCGTTATTCCATGCAGAGGGAAAGGTCAGTATTAAATTTAGCTATTCTTTAAACGTTTTTGAGTTGTTCTCGTTCAGTTATTGCTGTTTTTTTAACACATGTCTAAAGTATTCATTGTAGTACGTAACTACGTATTCAATTTGATTTCCATTTAAGCGCTTCGTTTCAGCGCTCAGTCGCTAAATTTTCTCTGTGTTTGTGTTTGATAGCGGGGAGGGGGGGAGGGGGGGGGCAGGGGGTGTAACACTCCCCACTCGTCAGCAAATCGGAAAATTGTTATCTCAGTCGGCAAAACCAGTTTTGCTAAAGATAACCACTGAAAGATTACCACTGAAAAAACCAAAATTGACTTCTTGAAAAATTGAATTCAAACCGAATATCACGGAAAGAATCCCGAGACACTGAATATATCACAAATATACTCTTTCTTTATCACTTTGAATTTGGTAAATTTATGCATTTATTTAACAGTACAACAACAGTAATATGGTCTATTAGCAATTCGATTTCAATTCCCAGGGGCCTAAAATCTTTTATTCTTAAGAATTGCAAAGTGGATTTCTTAGGAAATTCCGAGGTTGCGTTCTTTTTGAGACACCCTGATATTCAAATAATTAAACATTCCAAGCGACCATATTTAACCCCAAGGGAGTTCAGACCAATGCACAGTGGCGGCGCCAGGCTTCCAAATTTGGGGGGGCATTTGAGGGGCAAACTCAAATTTTGGGGGGGCAAGGGGTAAAAAGGTCGCCCCCCAGGAAATTCGCCCCCCCCCCTCAAAACGTGGCGATATTCTGGCGATATTCCTAGGAATATCGCCCCCGGGGGCGAATATCCTAAGAATATCGCCTCCCAGGGGGGTGGGGCGAATACCCTAGGAATATCCCCCCTCTTTAGGCCATAAGCCATACATTTTCCGATAACGACAGAACGCTTGTGTAGCCTTTATATAATTAGTCTCTCTTAGTGACTAATAATTTTTTTGAGGGGGGGCAAAATGGGGGGGCAAAAAATAATTTTGGGGGGCATTTGCCCCCCCTTGCCCCCCCTGGCGCCGCCACTGCCAATGCATGCTTTTAGCAGTAGCCAATGATAGCAAAGCTTTTGCAAGCTAAACCAATCTGAACGCGTAAAAAAGATTACGTTACCAATAACAAGCAAGGTGTGCTATACGCATTCGTGGCAAATTTAAATATTTCTCATGCTCGAGCCTGGAGGCGTCATTTTGACTCGAAGTTTAGGAAAGTACACATTAAAGTTAGCGCAAAACGTCGCTTTTATGAAACTTTTTCGAAATAAAATCGTTATTCCATGCAGAGGGAAAGGTCAGTATTAAATTTAGCTATTCTTTAAACGTTTTTGAGTTGTTCTCGTTCAGTTATTGCTGTTCTTTTTTTTAACACATGTCTAAAGTATTCATTGTAGTACGTATTCAATTTGATTTCCATTCAAGCGCTTCGTTTCAGCGCTCAGTCGCTAAATTTTCTCTGTGTTTGTGTTTGACCAGGGGTGGCGCTACAGGGGGGTGGGGGGTGGGGAGTGGTGCGGGGGGGGGAGCAGGTGGTGTAACACCCCCCACTCGTCAGCAAATCGAAAAATTGTTATCTCAGTCGGCAAAACCAGTTTTGCTAAAGATAACCACTGAAAGATAACCACTGAAAAAAAACAAAATTGACTTCTTGAAAAATTGAATTCAAACCGAATATCACGGAAAGAATCCCGAGACACTGAATATATCACAAATATACTCTTTCTTTATCACTTTGAATTTGGTAAACAGAAAATACCGAATCATTTAATTATGTAATTATTTCTTATTTTTTTAATTATGTAATTAGATAGATAGATAGATTTATCAAACTTACAAGACTCGCAGCCTAGGGCTTGCACGTCGGCTGAATAATATTAAGTTGTACAAGTAGTTAAAAGTTAGATCGACTAACCGTATTAAAAATTAGTTCGATTCAATGGACCTTTCACCTTTTGACTAAAATTTAGATCTCAAGACTCAACAAGTCTAGACAATAATTTCATCACAGCTTGAAAGAGCATCACAAAATTAGTAATATTCCGAAGTTTCGTTGCGAAATGTTGTAAAATGCGGATAATGATACTTATAGCCTTGCGAAGTTTGCAATTTCCAATCATATTGTATTACGCGCGGGAAATACATCACCTCTTTTCGGAAAAAGGGTATTTTTGTAACGTTTGTAATACAAAATGACTGAAAATTGCAAACTTCGCAAGGCTATATTATCCACATTTTACAGCATTTCGCAACGAAACTTTGGAATATTACTCATTTTGTGATGCTTTTTCAAGCTGTGATGAAATTTTTGTCTAGACTTGTTGAGATCTAAATTTTAGTCAACATGTGAAAGGTCCATTATACGTGTTTACATGCATTACAATTAATAAAATCATCCTTAAATCTATTAATTTGTCTTATAATTAGGAATTTGAAACATTCTTCTTCCTCGCAGGCAAATTTCTGACGAGTTTACTGGGGGCAATAAGTTTACTGGGGGCAATATGTAGTTTGTTCTCAGGATTCTTGACCATATTTTTAAAAAGTTTGTTAGTTAAGTTCTGTCTTCTTGCAGCCACGGTAGTGAGACCCAATTGATCCAACTAGGCTTCATTTTACGGATGATCTGGTAATACTATTCTACAAGCACGCTTTTGAAGTTTTCAAGGTCATCGGATAGGTATTTTGGAAGAAAAGTAGTGGAAAACTTTGCACGCGTATTCAGCGACTGGTCGATGAAGGTAATATAGAATAAAAGGAGATCTTTTGATGGAACTTTGGCCCGTTTCAGTGGTCTAAGAAAGTATAGACGGGTTGAGATCTTTTTCCATTTAAGATCATTTGTGATGGTGAGGCCCAGTAATTTTGCCTCGGGGACAACCTCAATTTCTTTGTCATTGACAAGAATGGGATCGAAATCAGTCTTCGACTTAGATTCTTTTAACTGCATGCCGTTGATTGTGGACTTAAAGGCGAATTTGTACAATGTTTGTCAATTACTTCCGACAGGGTAGAATCATCTACATATTTTCAAAGACATACATCACCCAAAACGTCGAGGTCGTTTATCATGACCAAAAACAGCCAGGGACCAAGTTTGGTCCCTTTCGGTACACCGGCAGGTACCCTTTTCCACTCTGCAGAGAAACAGTCTTCACTTTATTTGACTCTTTGTCTACGATCTGTAATGAAGTCTAATATCCAAAGTAGAGTGGTCTTATAGGGATATCGTATTTTGCCAGATTGTTTCGCAGGATCGTGATCGATCATATATCCGAAAGTCAAAGAGCATTATTCGGTTTGTGGAGCCGTTGATTTGTGTGCTTTTATTCCAAGAGTGCAACATACTAATCAAAGCGTACGTGGTACTTGAGTTTGGGATGGTACTAAATTGTCTTTCATCGATCTTGGATAATATCGCAGGTTTTAAATGTTGCTCGACCACAAACTCTTCCTTTTGATAAAACAGGAGTCAATGCAATTGGGCGCAAGTGGTAATTTATATCTGTTATCGGTTTCTTTTTAGGGATGGATATAATGTCAGCATTCTTCCAGGGTTGCGGGACATGACAATCGCGATAAGAAGAGTTCAAAATTTCTTTGACCGAAAGCGCGAGAAGATCCGCGTTCTCCTTCAAAACCCAATAAACATTTGAATATTCAATTTTAACTGCTTATTACTGTTCTATAAAAAACGCATTTAAACATACACCTTTTCAGTTTTTCTATAGGCTAATGACTCGGCAAACTTACCAAACAGTCGGCAAGAAACACTCACCCCCACACACACACACACACACACACTAGAAGAGGGTTAGCGCCGCCCCTGAGTGTTTCTTCCTAATTTCCTAGCAGTAATATCTAGAAATACCACAGCTGTGATTCATTTAACTCATATTTAGTTTATCTGCAATTTCAGAGCGAAAGATTTGAAGACAAAGTGAACTAATTTAAGGTGATGACATGGTCGAAATGTCGAAGCACTTGGTAAGCATAATGCCCATTAAAGGCGTTTCCTTCTTGTTTGTTTCTCGTTTTTAAGCTTCCCCAATACACATAGAACGTCCTCTAGCATTGCCTTGTAACTTTATGAACACTCTGAGTCAAGTAGTTTAGCCAGTTGCCGACTTATTGTAGAGATGTTCAATTTCACATACAGGCGTGGCATATCATTTTCAGACATTTTAGCTTTTGCAGACTTGTATATGTATAAATTGTTCTCTGAGAGGGAAGGCTGAGCTTTCTGAGTTTCTTGAGGTTGTCTAAGCTGAATTTAATCCAATTTTTTTTACGCATGAAGTTCAGAGATGAAATGTCCTCGTGGTTCACGCACTAATTT